AGCCAATAGGCCCGATCCATCTTGGGGAAAGAGGCTACATGCGGCACAGGGCACCAACCAGCCAGCCCTTCCAAGTTGTCATGAGCCATCAGGGATCACCTTTCCAGAAGATTCTTCACCATCAGAAACCCCAAAAGCTTTAGTGGACCCTTGTTCTTTCATACAAATCCTTCTGGCGCCAGCGCAATGGAAAAAAGGGAAGGTCAGTGAAGAAAACCACCGTGGAGGCCTCCTGACCCTGAGCACTGGTAGGAAAGCGATTCAACTACACGCAATCAGGAAGCAGTATTTTGAGCTCTCATCTATTTCACTGGATATAGTTGCCTGGAAAAAGTTACCCTCCTCAAAGTGAATTAACCCACATCTATAACACCAAATTCAGGGTAGCAGGTGATGCTGGGGAGGAGAGAAAGGAAAAAGAAAGGAACAGGTGTCCACAGAGGGCGTGCAGACGTTTTAACATACTTGTTAATGTGCTACTTCTCAAGCTGATGGTGGTTCATGGTGTTTGTTATTATCTACTCTTGTATGTATTTGTGAAATGCATAGTTTGATTTCTAATTTTAAAATATATGTGCATCACACTTTGGGCCTTCAAGGAAAAAAGTCCCACATACACCAAGAGTAAGTCAAGACTTCCACCCTTCTCCTAGGTCACTCCAGGACAATCCAGTCCTAAATTAATTAGTGCCCTAAATAGAAGATGATTTGATTAAAGCCTCTTCCCACTGGAATCTAAAACTAATACACTGAAAAGTTAAACAAAAATATTATAACCACACCACGAGTCCTGGTTAATATGGAGCACTTCCTGGAGGCCATGACACTAAAGCACACACACCCACCAAGAAATCTCGTCTCACTGGGCTATGAACAGGGCCTGGGGTTTGGTGTTTTTCCTAAAACTAGGCCCCAAATGTGTTGCATCCAAGTCCGCTTTCCTACTGAGTTCCTTAAAGATATTTCAATTCCATAACTTCCTGGTTCATCTCAGATATTAGAACAGGTCTGTGTGGGTAGTTAAAACAGAGTCCTAACCAATTTAAAAGTTCACCCTCAAGTTCAAGTCACAGCCCATGATTTCAGCAGCACAGAGTGGAAGGATCCTTTCCACATGCTTTTCACCCTGACTCCTCCAGAGCAGGGGCAGGAAAGAGCGACAGGGGGTGCAGGATTGCAGCCCCGTGACCTTGTGACCTTGACTGTCCTCCCCAAGGCCTCTGATGAGCAGGCATGCCCACGCTCAGTACTAAAGCATTCCTTGAAGGGCTCTGCTGGGGTCTCCCCTTTCCTCAGATCCAAGACGCAGGAAAACCAGCCATGCATCCACCTCTCCGTCTCCTCCTCAGCCTCCACCACCCACAGTTCACCAGGGTCCCTGTCCTCAAGAGCAGCCCTCCTGGTGGATGGCAGCAGTTCAGCTCAAGCTCAGCTATGTTCCTGGTCACCCAACTGATTCATGGAAGACTGGCCAAGCTCACGCTCACACACCTGCCTCTGCATCCTCTCCCCTTCCCTTAACCTCTCTCAGGACAAGCTCACCCTCTCTGAACCTTCAGGGACCCTCAGAGTTTCCTCTGGGCCATTCCTGTGGAGCCTGTTGCCATCATTAGTTACCCTGGATCTACTGCCATGTAACTCTTTTTTTGTGCTAATCTTATCGCACTGTAACTCAAAGCCATTCCTAATCCCCTTCACCTTTGTCATCTTTCAAACAGAGGCTGGAAAAACCAATAGTCACATTCCTAGCCTTCCTTATAGAAGAGTCCAAATGACAACCATGCTGACACTGGAGGGATTCTGGGAAAGTTCTGCAACAAACCCCTCTTTCTTCCTGGAATGTGATGTCTGCATCCTGGACACATTGTGACCATGAGGAAGAAACCAAGTAAACTTCAGAGAAACAGCAACACTGTTCCCATTAATCCACTGGACAAGCTGCAACCAACCATCTACCTCTAGATTCCTAGTTATGTGAGAAAATTAAGCCAGTATCTGCCTAAACCATGACAAAGTGCCTGTTACAGCTCATTTCCTTCCTAACCAATATATTTACCAGTTAAAATTCTAGCTACACAGGTGGCAGGAATTACACCACTTTGTATACCTCGTGGTAAATAGTATAGGGTTGCTCTTATTTCCATCTATTTGGGAAATATATTGATTTTTTTTAAACTAGGTTGGTTTCACTCTTACTTGATTTGCATATGTTCATGGATGATCACATTATCATTTTTATCACCATTAGTGTGTAAAAACGGGAAGATGGACAAAATAAGTTTATTTAATCATTATCAATTCTCTATGGAGTGTGGGGGGAGTGTTAGAGTACTTTTCAATTACTTACATTAAATGTTACAAAATATTTTTTTAAATGGATATTCAGAAAATCACATTGTGTTATTCCACATGTATTTTTCTTCTTCCATTAGAACATGAATGTGCATGATAACCCTGGAATGCACACCAATTTAAAATAAAAAGGCACACTGGAAGACATGGGTTGGAAAGATCTGGGATATTTCTCCACTGGCCCTGGAAATCAACCCATGGAAGCAGATCTTTCTCAGATCTTAAATATTTTACCTTCTTTTTCAAAAATTATTTTCTTTACAATAGCTTCAGAATTTAGAAAATTTTGGAATTTAAAAAAATAGCTAACATCTGTTAAAAGTGATATATTCATACCTGCCTTTTGACTATGCATATATGTGCTATATGAGTATGTATGTGTATGTATATGATTGTATATGTGATGTTTTATAAAATTGCCTAATTCTACAAACACAGTTTGTATCTTATTCTTATTTAAAAGATCATTAACACTTCCAACATCATTATTCTCTGAAAAAATGCTTTACCAGTTGCATAATATTCCATTATATGGATATTTCAAGATTTATTTAACCATTCTCCTATTGTTTATTTGTATAAATTATTCTAGAGAATATACATCTGCATTCATGTCCGTTGTTATCTCACTGTCGTCATCTGAGTCCAGTGTAAAGGGGAGGAGAGATGAGGGAGAGTCGCCAAGGGGACTGAAGAGGGAGAGGGAGCCCACCACGCCAACAGCTGCCACTTGTCAGGTAAGACGAGACCCCAGGACTGACCACTGAGGGACAGAGTGGGAGCCATTGGTGACCTTGGTAAACGGACAAAAGCCTGGCTAGAGTGGGTTAAAAAAGAACTGGAGAAGGGAAATCTCCTTTCAAGGAATTTCGTTAACAACACGTGGTAACTGAGGGGGAAGTGGGGTCAAAAGTGGGTGTGGGAATGATCGGCAATACAAAATAGAAAGGATATAGCCATCAGTTAAGATGGAATTATTAGCTATTATTTCAAATTGCCAAAAATATCTAAAACCCACACATTTAAATTTACCTTACAGAATCTTCCACAGAACATGGAAAATGTTCCATGTCTGAACATAAATGTACATGTACTTATGTGGTGATATGTACAGTGAGCACCTTTTCTGAAATAAAAATCATGGTTAATGCACATAGTATTTACTAAAATAAAAATAAAAATAAACCAGTCTATTTGAAAACAGTATTTTTTTACGTACTCATCTTAAAGAACATAGAGATGGGCACATCCAGCTAAAGACAGGGTCAAATGATTAAATTCACAAATGACAGAAGGAATGTGACATTTATTATCAGTTTTGAGTATTATTGGCATAACTAAAAATGTTCCACTTTGATTTAGGCTACTGAAGGTTATGAATAAAGCATAAATGCTTGAATTTTGACAAGCATGTTTCATGTCTCCAGCTTATGTGGCATAACTCAGTCAATAAATTCATAAACTGGTACTTTATAAGCAAGAGCCCTTACACTGGCAGAATGAATTATTTTATACTGCGTTCCCCAAATATGTTGCATATTCCACAATGAGTACCTGGAAGAAGTACAAGTGGTACACAAACTCTTTTAATGGTAGAATTATGACTTCACAGCATAACATTTCCAGTTAAGTAAGTTGGTTTATGCAATCAAAAGAAAAGTATTAAACAAGTAACTGTACAAATAGTATGAGACAACAATTGTGAAAATGGCAGAGCAAATGAAATAATAGCCCAACATGTCAATTGCTCCCTGGCAGGGACACTAGTTAGTGTTGTCATTAGTCTTACTTAAGTGACAAGAGTCCTACTCTCAACCTGGTAAGAATCCAGTCCCCCAATCCTAAACCAAGTAGGCTCCCTTAAAATAAAAGTAAAGCAGAGTTCCCAGAATATCCCAATGCTAAGAATCATTAAGAAGTGCTTGTTAAGTACACATTCCTAAACCCCATCTCAGGTGTACTGCAAACAGAGAATCTGCACTTTTGACAAATGCCCTAGTGATTCGTCTAATTTGGGCAATTTGGGATATAGAAACAGAAAACACATCTAATAAGTTCCGTTTGATGGTAGAAACCAATAGTTGAGGGGAAGGGAGATTTAGGATAAACAGGGTGATTTCTACATGTTTGCCATTTTAAAGCTGGCTGTTGTGAATGAAGAGTGCATTTTGCCAGGATCTGTAGTACAGTGTGTTTTGCAAAACTAAAAATAAACAAAACAAATCCCAGTGTGCTTAAAAATGTCATAGTAATACCCAAGTTCAGTCTGAGATTGATGGAATTATGCACAATACTCTTCCTTCTTGTATTTCAGTCCATGTCTGTGAACTAAAATTGTTCAGCTGGGTAATGAAATTACTACCATAACTCTTTTTATTTATGAGCACCTGTACCCAAAGGGTCTCAAGGCGAGTTAGCATTGTAAAAGTAAACGTTAAGAATAAAACAGAAGTGAAGTATACTGAGAAACAAGGTATCCAGGTAAATCCTAAAAAGGGACTAAAGCCTAGAAATAAAATATTTTGCACACCCCCCAAATTATAGCTAATTGACTTAATGGGAATAGTTTAACATTTCAAAATCATTCTAAAGTGTTGGAATTTTTTAAGTGAGAAAGATTTGGTATAGAAAAGATATTCACTACTTACCAAATATCCACAGGCAACTCCACACTCCCCAGGCCCCTTGCAGGAACAGGGTCATGGTCAATGCTGGCCAATGGAGTGTGAGCAGAAGAAACTGTCATTTCTGGGTCTAAACATTTAAGAGCTAGTGTGCAACCCTCCAGTGCTCCATTTCTCTCCTACATGTATCTTGATGGCTTCAGTGTTGAAGAAGAGAGATGGAAACAGCAAGAATCACTGAGTGACTGCATGGAGGACAAAATGCCCTGAGCAGTTGCCCAATTACATTATATTTTGGAGGAGCAAGAACTGAGACTTTGTGGTGTTCATGCCCTGAGATTTCAGGGTGACCTTAATGCCCTGAATAAACAAGGCAATCATGACTAATACACTTGGCAGTCACCTGACTTCTCTGGTTCCCAAATCAGAATTCTCCACAGCAAAAGGAATTCATTCAGTGGCTCCAGCCAGGTCACCTGCACCACTGAAGCCGATACCTGGCGTATACTCGGCATGGTTCTCATTATATGTGGGAACAGATGTTCAGAATTCTTCAGGTCTTTGTCTGGCTCACAAAAGCACACCAGTGGAAAGACTGAAACTTCGTGTTCCTCAAACCTCCTGTGTATTATTTGCAAACTTCTTGAGAACTACTTAGGGCCAGACTTGACACAGAAAATCAAATGAAGCAACATTTGCAGTCATCACAAATTCCATGATGGAAGCTAATAGGCCAAAAGTTTTCTGTTTAGTTTGGATCCATCTCCTGTAAAATCCCTACGATTCTACCAAAGCAAGGAGTGAGCACTCAAAGAGCAGTTAATATGCTCCTAACCACATGGGGCTATTTAAATTAATTAAAACTAAATAAAATGAAAAATATAGTTCCTCAGTCACACTAGCTGTATTTCAGATGCACAGAAGTCACACATGCTAGTGGCCACCACGCTGAAGAGCGCAGAACATTTCCATCAACAGGGCGCTTGTTGGACGTGCTGGCCTAGAACACCTCACAATATCTACTCTCAGAAGCAGCTCCAAGACAAGACTCCCAGCCCCCCCTCCCAACTAACACTATAATTATTAACGGGATAAAACTGAGAAAAGCAAAACTTGGGAGAAGTATCTGTTAGATAAAGAAAGGCTTTACCATAAAATCTACCATATTAGCTTTTGAGAGTTTTGAGAAGTGGCATGATGTGTGAAGTGCCTATATCACCTCTAAGGCAGCACTATTTCTGTAGATTTTCTAGGTTTTGGGGGTTTTTTCACAAAGATGCAAATATCTACCTGCAACAGGAAGAGCTGGTGAAGTTGATGATCACGACTGTTCCGTGACTCCATCATGGCACCAAAGCAAACTCAACTTAGAAAATAACACAGGATGGTCTCACGCAAACGAAAACTCTGCATGAGAAACTCTCCAAAACGACACCAAGAGACACCTTACAGCAAGCAGTTTTCCCTCTGAGGGCATCAACTGCCAACTCAATGCACGGACAGTAAGACAAAGACCCCAACAGGGCCAGCTCTTTAAAACGCAGTAACTGTGAAGGATATGCTGTAGGAAAAATCAGTGCATTTGAACAGGGGAGCTGACAAGAGGGCCTCGGAGAGCACTCACCATTACTGATGCTTGACTGGAAACAGATATATTAGTGAGTAAAAATGATGGTGAAGAAATGCATTTGGCAGGACTCAGAATGCATTTGGATGTCACAGCTTTCTGCTCCTGCTCATCTGTGCGGTGCCCTTGTGAGGCTCATGTGCCTAGGTTGCTTTGTTAAAATACCATCCTACAATGAGATTCTACTACACACCTATTAGATGGCTAAAACCCAAAATGCTGACAATGCCAAATGCTGATGAGGATGTGGAGCAACAGGAGCTCTGGCTCGGTGGTGGAAATGTAAAATTTTAGTCACTTTGGAAGGCAGTTTTAGCAGTTTCTGCAAACCTAAACCTTACCATATGATCCAGCAATTTGTGCTCCCAAGTAGTGGCTCAAATGAGTTTAAAACCTAAATCCATGTAAAAACCTTCACATGGATGGTTACAGAAGCTTCACTCACAATTGGCAAAACTTGGGAGCAACCCAGACATCCTTCCACAGGTGAATGGATGAACTACAGCACATCCAGGCAATGGAATATTTATTACTAAATGATTTTTAAAATGAGCTATTAAGCTGCAAAAAGCTTAAGTGCATATTGCTGAATGAAAGAAGCCAGGTTAGAGAATGTGTGATTCCAGCTACATGACAACCTCAAAAAAGTAAACCTATAAGAAAGAACAGTAAAAAGATAAGTGGTTGCCAAGGCTTTGGGGAGAGGAGGAAAGAGTGAATAGGTAGAAAACAGGAGGCTCTCGGGGCAGTGAAACTGTTCTGTACAGATGCCACAATGGTAGATACTAGACATTATGTATTTGTCAAAACCCAAGAGAGGCACAACACAAAGAGTCCTAATGTAAACTATGGGCTACAGTTAATAACAACATGTCAATACAGTTCATCAACTGTAACAAATATATAACACTAGTGCAAAGTACTAACAGTGAAAGACAGCAGGGAGCTGGGAACTCTGCATTTTCCGGACAATTTTGCTGTAAACCTAAAACTGCTCTAAAAAATAAAGTCTATTAATTTTACTTAAATCATCCTGAATGTCCATTTCCCACTCTAGCACATTCCAGAGCTGTCACCGTTTATACAGTGTATGCACATGTGTGTGCACACACACATATACACTCAAAATGTGAATACTGGGTTGGGACCATACTTTGAGAACATCTGGTCTACAGACTTATTAAACGTAATACTCTTCAAAATGAAATCACTATCTTGAAGAGATAACTGCACCCCCATGTTCAGTGCAGCATTATTCACAATAACTGATACATGGAAACAACCTAAATGCCTGTTGACAGATGAGTGGATAAAGAAAACATGAGCCACACAGCTATATGTAATACAATATTACTCAGTCTTAACAAAGAAGGCAATCCTTCCATTTGTGATACCATGGATGAACCTTGAGGGCATTATGCTAGGAAAAATAAGTCAGAGAAAGATGAATACTATATGATCTCACTTATATGCAGAATCTAAAAAAGCCAAACTCAGAAACAGAGTAGAATGGTGATTGCTAAGGGCTGAGGAGTGGAGGAAATGGGAAGATGCTGGTCAAAGGGTACAAACTTCCAGTTATAAGTTCTGAGGATCTGATGTACAGCATTGGTGACTATAGTTAACAATGCTGTATTATATTCTTGCAAGTTGATGAGAGTAAATCTTAAATGTTCTCATCATCAAAAAAAAGCACTGGGGGATTAATTATGTGAGGTGATGGATATGTTAACTAAAAAAAAAAAGGATTTTTTTAAGGTAAGTCTCATCTATCTCTTAGAGGGTTTTTTTTCTTTTCTCCATCTCAAGTGCTGTGATCTAAATACAGGGAAGGCCCAGTACATGTTTTAGTCAATGCAGTTGGCTTAAAAAATTTGCATAATTAATGTATTCTTTGGACTCTAACAATATGCAAAAAATTTAGAGATAGCAAAATAGGAGTGTAGTAAAAAGGGGAAGACCAAAGAATAGGGGTTAGCTTCTCTCTAAGTTATAGTCCAATGCCTTATAATCATCTGTCAGTTAATTATTAGGCACACTTTAGGAAGAGAGAACCAATTAAAAAGAATTGCCCAACTGGAATTCCCTATCTAGAATGCTTACCTATTTTTTAAATTGATTTGAATAATATGTGGGAAAAATATTACATCCACATCAAAGTTGTCAAAAACAAACTAATCTAGTTTATTCTGATGTCAAAGACAAACAACTGTTTTCTCTAATTGCCTTTCTATGGAGTTTATACATGCTACAACTAGAGATTTTCCTTTGAAATTTCTTAAAAACTGTAGATCTTCCCATATTGTAACATTCCGTAAATATTTGTTGGAAAGAGGAAAGATAAATGCTGTGAAGACAAGACCCTTTCTTTGACATATAGGATACCATATTAAATTTTCAGAGAACAAAACCTCATCCTGAAATTTTTATAAATATGGAAGGAATGTTCTTTCATGGGAACATTATAATGCATTCAGGTTATTGAGCTGAGCTACCAAGCTAGTGACTGTAACTTACAATTTCTTACAGATGTAATTACATCTTTTTCTGTAGAAAAATGATACAAATGTGTCAATAATCACATTATACTACTATGCATTTTAAGCCAAGTAGTAATTGGCTACTACCATCTGATCCTGCAACCCCACTTCTGGGTATATATCCAAAGGAAGTGAAAACAGGAACTCAAAAAGATATCTGCACTCCCATGTTTATTATTCACAATAACCAAAACATGGAAACAACCTAAGTGTCCATCAGTGGATGAATGGATAATAGAATATTGTGGCAAATACCCAGCATGAAAATCCCTATTTGCTGCCTCTAGGTAATAAGGCAACTGCTGTATAACCAGGAGCAATCACATCTCTTTATTCTTGGGAGGAATTTCTTATTGTTAGTGTGGCTTCATATCCATCCCTGTAGCAAGTGCCCATGTTGAGAGATGCATCTGATTAAGTGATTCCATGCACTTGAGTAGAGAGGACAAAGAAAACCAATTTCAAGTTTAATGTGATCCTTTTTGTCTCTGGAATGAATTTACCTCCTTCCCACTACAACTCAAAATGAGGTATAATTTAAATCAGGCACAAGAATTTGTTACTTATAGAAGCAACTTCTCTCAAGAGCCTGAATCATTAACTTGTTTTCTTTATCTGTCTATGCTCCTTGTTCTGGAAAGGATTTAAGACAAATCATTAACTGTTTCTAGGTAGAGAACTGAGATGCTCACAGATTGGGCAATGTCAATCAGGTAGAACATGCAAACACCTAATTCCAAAGAGATTGTGTACCATCAATAAATATTTATTGGTACCTTCTAAGTATGAGGCATTGTGCTGGAACCTGGGGATATAGTGGTCAGTACAACAGAGAAGCTCCCGCCCATGAAAGAGCCTATCTCCTAAAGGTGTGCCCTGCACCACAAGAGACTATAATGTGCCAGGTTGCCTGGCAAAGCTGAGGTCAAGTTGGAGAAGAGATGTTCCAAGACATGGTATCTGCCTCTATACATTGGAATAACCATATTTTATAAGAGAAAAGAGGTACTTGGTGGGGCTATAGGCCATAAATGGGTACACAAGGCGAAAGTCAGAAGGAAGCTTATATGGGCCAAAAGAAGTAAGAATATTTTAAGAAATAGACCTGTCCAAGAATGCAATAGGATGCATTGTAAGGTAAGAAGCTCCCAATCATGGGAGATTA